GACCGATAGCATGAAGCGGCTATCGTACCAACCAGACCACCATGCAAAGCAGGCATGCAGGCGTCCTCGCATACGGATTGTATCACCCGATATGGCAACATGTACGGCGAAGGAGCCAAGCTCTGGTGAGGGGCGGTGACGAACAAGTACAATAAAAAAACCGCTAAGGCCAGATGTAAGTTATCGTTCTTGACTGTACAAATACGTTTGCCGAAGCATTCGTAGCGTGAGAAGTGTGCTCGAAATAGTCGAAGGGTAAGCAAGAATGAAGGCAACACTTTCCGCAGTGTGCGCACCAGCAATGTTACAATCTTAGTCATGCTTTCATCGGTCGGAGGTGCATGTTCCAATGTTCCACGTGCGTTTTGTACCTTTTGGACTGCCTTTCTTTTCCGGCACTTCTGCCGTTCTCATGCTCCCCCTACTCCCTTTTTTGGGGTTGTTGTTGTTGTTGTTGTTTGTTGTTTGTTTTATTTTTTTGCACGCAAATATTGAATAGCATATTGCCGTGCTATATTCGAAGCGGATTTGAGCCGCATGCTCGATCACCAATTGGCACAACATCAATCTTTAACATGAAATAATAGATTTATAGCATCAAGGTTTTACAAAGAATCTGCCATCAAAGCCTCTACACAATCTTAGCCGGCCGGTTGGCCCCTTGGCCTCGGCAAGGACAATCTTTAAACCCATGACCGGGTTTCGCGACAATAAAAGCATCGACCGTCGCCATCCCGACGCCACGTATTCCAAGTACATGCGTCTTCACCCCTACTACAAGGGGGGAGATCGGTGCGGGATGTCGAGGTGGTGGGTCTAGTAGGTCTCTCTTTTTGCTGGCCGCCACAATTTGTGTGGCGGCCTTAACTTTTTTATCTTCCACCACCTCCCCATATTTAATCTTTAGGGCCATATTGGCCACTTCAAAACCGCGTTGATCTGCGGTGAATAAGAAATGAATCTTTTCCTCCGCCTCCTCGACATTTAGCTGGAGATAGTCGGCGGCTCACTCGCCACCACTAGGGGGCAAAGCGGAGAGCGCGTGCCGAGCAATAGCATGGATAATCTCGAAGCCAAAAAGTTGGGTTCGAATGCCGTCACTTTTTACCAAAGAAGAACGCAACTGAGGACGTGCAGGAGGGATAGGAGCAAGATTCGGGATGGTAGAACCAGACTTGAGACGAGCGGTGTTTACCTTCGTCGAGGGTTTTCCATGGGCGCATCGTCGTCCGCGCCATCGCCCTCGGGTTCGGCCGCGACGGGAGGAGGGCGGGAGCATGGCATTGCTGCTGTCATAGGTCGAGCAGGTGCAGGGGGTGGTGCTGGATCACCGGTTTGTCCGCGCTGAAGGGCCGCGAGAAGACCGATGACGTGATGAATTGCGTCATTATTAGCGTTGTCGTTGTTGTTGTAACAAGCAGGAATTTGTTCTGCAGATCGGGGCGCTGTAGAAGCAGAGGAGCGTGCTGTAACGCGTTCACCAATTGCAGCACCCGTGAAGATTCGATGGAAATTTCGCTGGGTGGCGGGGTCAGACGCGCCATCATTTCGGCGAAATTTGCAACTCCATCGGCGATGATGACAGGATCTTGCTGTGCGCGCTGATTCGTCGGGCAAGATTCCAAATCAGCGTGGACGTCCAGATTCCGGCGATCGCCACGATCCTGGCGCTCCTGACGATTTGCGCGCTGGTCAAGATTCTGACGATCCAGTTCCTGACGCGTCTGGTCACGCTCAGGATTCTGCTCATCATTTCGACCTGCGCGCCCAGGATCGCATGATCATTGCGATCCTCGCGCGCATGACCGTCATGATGCGGCCGAAGGGTGCTGCGCGCAGCTGTTCCACGGGTGTCGGGGCGTTTTCTCTTGTCGGTTCAATTCGACACGTTCACGTTCTTCACGCCGCTCGCTGCGAAACCCGTGGGGAAAATCGCGACCATTAGAAGCGTTACGATCTCCGACGGGAGCCAATCCGGGTTGCTGAACGGGGTTTCGCCGAGCGCCATTCAGCAAATCCAATGCAGTAACAGATGCATTTCTGTTGCGGTGGAGAGCGGGAACGATCACGGTGAGTGGAAGAAGCTTGACTTCCTCAAGCACAGGGATCCACGTCGTCCATTGCTCCTGAGATTCATTCTTGAAACAGGAGGACGACCATTTGCAGCAGAAACAATTCCTCCAGTCATGGTAGAAAACGTGCGGCAAACACGTTCGCAAGTAGCGTGCTCCTATGCTCAGGTCTGGGCATAGGAGGGGTTAGAGTGTGCTGGTGGTTGTAAGCAATCAGAGAAGAGAATTGAGAATGAGACTAGGTGCAGGTCCATCGGACCTGCGAGAATGTGAAGGAGCTTGTCTCATTTACAGCAAAACTCCTCTTCAAATCGAATCAAAATTTCTAGTCATTCTGCTATTCTAACATGTGGTAAAGTACAAGGCTGCGCTGGAGTTATACCCCTATATGAAAAGGTACAATTGTGACACGACCTCAGAGGAGTGGTGCAGTGCAGTCGTCATAGCATATCATAGCTCCATAGTACAGCACACTAGATAGGGCAAATACATGGCAAGGGAACAAGGGTGAGCAGGCCATGCTAGTTATCAAAGCATGGGAGGGAAGGGTGGGCAAGTTGGAACAGAAAAATGCAAATGAGACTAGGTGGCAGGTCTGAAAGACCTGCCGATAGATGAAGGAGTTTGTCTCCTTTACAGCAAACTCCTCTTCTAGTCGAATCACAATCTGTAAATTTTTTACTACAAAAAAATTCTCATATTGTGACACGACCTCAGAGAGTGTGCAGTGCAGTCGTCATAGGTCAAACGAGACATCAAGTGGTAGGTCGTCGCGGTGGCGCTCGAGGGTGGCTGGTACCGATCGGTCGCGCTCGAGCGAGTAGGATCTTGTAGCGCGCGAGAAGCAGCCACTAGCTCGCGGTCAAGCTGAGTAATGTAAAGCTCCTTGGCTGTATCACTTCGCCAGCGACCTAGGGCCTTGAAACGCCGGTCGGGGACTCCAATATCAACGGCGACCGTCGCAGCCGCCTTGCGGAAAGAAGGGTGCCCAGGAGGGCCGGGTTAAGGCCTACACAGGAAAAGCATCTCGACACCAACCCCGAATGGCGGCGTACGAGGGAGAGCGATCTGAGGGGGAAGCTCGGGCACCCCGGCTGAAATATACGAATAAGGGGGCCAAGGGTCCGCGGAGAATAGCCAGCCAGAAGAGGAATTGTTGGACACGCACACCGGACAGTGGCGGCAGAAGAAGCAGCCACTGGGACCCAACACCGGTGCCAGCTTGGTCGGTCTTCGAACGAGGGATGAACAACCACATGCAGTCCCGATCGAACTCGATCTGGTGCCACTGGAGGGAGACGAGATCAGAGAAACAAAGGAAGGCTGCGAACATGAGAGGGGAATAAGGCCCCGCTGGAATGTGGCCGGATCATGCGATGAGAAGTAGATGTCACAGATATCGTAAATCTTGGCTGGAGGAATGGGCTCCTTAGCTTGAGATGGCTTGCCACAATGACGCATGCATAATCCTTGACTTGCGAAGAAAAGGGGCCGCGAATCGGGGAGGGGTGGCCAACCAGCCAAATGGGCGCAGGATATGGCGGAACACGCAGTGCGCACAGCTGAGACAGTAGCGCCGTGACGGACCGAGTGCAGCAGAAAGAGGACGCTGTCAGGTCGTGGCGGGAAGGAAGGGAAGTGAGTGCGCCAAACAGAAAGGCCTCGAAACTGTCGCCAATAGGGTTCGTAAGTGCGAAGGGTAGACTTCGCCCGAAGATCAACGGTGAGTGTGAGAAGGTCCGACAATAATCGACCAATATATGAGCCCTTGCGCAGTGAAATAAATTGATACATTAGTTGAATGCAAAACGAAGCGCATACATCGGAGAGTTCGGAAGACCAGCACCGCTAAAGGCATGACGGTCACTGCCAACGCGTAAACAACTAGCCACCAAGGGTAAGGCGAAGGGCCATAACGACCTCCGCGCCCCAAGTAGAGCCATCCAAGCTTAGCAAAGGCCACCAAAAGGCACTGGGCCAATATGGGATCACGAGAGTGAGAGAAGTGCGCGAGCGACGGGCATGAGCTAGGACAGCCGGGATGAGGGTGGGTGGAGGAAAGGCGAAGCAATTCTCGTGGCCCCAATTGATAGAAAAAGCGTCTTGCGCAACCGCAGAGTGTGAGAACTCGAGGGAGCAGAAACGAGCGAGCTGCGCATTGGCAGGGGATGCGAACAAGTCGATAGTATGAGGCCCCCAATGCCTCTCAAGCAGCCGGAACCAAGGTCGTGTCAAGGAGTAGTCGTCGTGGAGCTCAATCTTGGACAGAGCGTCAGCCTCGGTATTCAGCGCACGGGGAATCCATTGGACCGTAAGACGGATCATATGGCGCACGCACAATTGAATAATCGCGCGGCATACGAAGGTAAGCTCGGGACGGCGAGAGCCTCCCTTCTGGAGGATGTAGTAGGCCGCCTGACTGTCGCTGCGGAGCAAGATGTGCGAACGTCGGATTTCGACAGAAAAGGCCGAAAGGGACCAAAAGATTCCGGCCAGCTCGCGAAGGGTACTGGACGAGCCCAAGAGGGCTAGAGGCAGCGGGGAGGAGAGCGAGCCGACACGACCATCCGGCGCTGAATAACAAGCCCCCCAAGCATGGTCGCTAGCATCCACGTACATGACCACGTCGTACAAATGCGGGTTGTGGAAGCGGGCGCCGTTGAAAACGTCGAACTGTGTAAGCCAAAATCGCAGTTCTTCAACAGACTCAGGGGTGAGGAGAATGGCCGCCCCCATGAGTGGCATTGGCGATCTGCGTAAGAAGGTGGTGGGAAAAGCGCGCGCGACAGTGCCAAGCGCCAAGGACATGGAGGCCAACATGCCGGTGATGCGGGCAGCGCGGCGAACAGGGATGCGACGCCCGTTAGTGCCGAGTGTGCCTAATTCATCCAGCTCGGCAAAAAGCCGGTTGCGCCGATCCGCATCGACCGAGAAAGTGGTGGTGCGCGTGTCCAGCAAGAGGCCCAAGAACTTCAAAGATTGTGCCGGTGCGAGTTGTGATTTTTTGAAATTCACAACAAAGCCCGCAGCTGCGAGGTCGGCAATGATTATGGAGCGGTTGTGAAGAGCCTCCGCTCGAGTGGCACTGATGAATAGGATATCATCGACGTATGGAATAAGGCGGATGCCACGGCTACGCCAGCGTTTGGCGAGTTGCTTAATTAACTGGGTAAACACAAACGGCGCTGTAGCCAGCCCGAAAGGCAAAGAGAGGAATTGGTAGTCCTGCCCTTGCAAGGAGAATCCGAGAAACTGCCAGAAAGCGGGGTGAATGTCGACGTGGTGGTATCCAATTTGAGATCGATCGTGAATAGCCAATCGCCTTCTTGCACCAAATCAGGAACGCGAGTAAGTCCTTCGTATCGAAAACGAGGTACTGAGAGGAATGAGTTGACATGCCGCAAATCCAATATCAGTCTCTTTTTTGAGGGTTGGACAATCACGTTTAAGGGGCTAACGCATGTGAGGGTTGTGGAAGGAGGAACGACCCGAGCTGCCGGTGGCGAGAAGCTCGGCCACTGCGCCTACGGCGAAAGAGGTGAATTGCAAAGCACCGGCATGGTTCTTAGTACGAGACGGAGGGGCTCAGAGGCAACCCATGGTAGGCGATATCCAGATGTAATCACCGATAGAATCAAGCGGCTGTCGCACCAGGCGGACCACCATGCAGCGCGGTCACGGAGGCGGCCTTGCATGCGGGTAATCTTGGTTGCGTCATCGGCATAGGCCGAAATGGTTCCGAGCTCTGGTAGGAGAGGGAACACAAATAGGGACGGTAGAGAATCAGGAAGGTACCTCATGTAGTTCCGAACGCAACGATTTTTTTTTTTTTTTTTTTTTTTTTTTGGAAGGAAGGCAAACGCTAATATAGGTGCCCGCTTGCTCGTATTATTCGGCCACGTCATCCCTTAAGTGATAAACATGGGTTGGGAATGTGAACTTGGCATTTTGGGCTGTAGTTGGTCGTCATATATTCCTTGTCGTGAACCAAAAAGTGTTTCGAGAAATGTTGCCAAAGCATTCGCCAAGTGTTCTAATCTTAGTCCGCCAGGAGTGTTCACCCACATGTTCGCAAAACGTTTGCAAAGCATTTGCGCAAATGCTACGCAATCGTTTTGCGAGCATACGTTTTTTTTGCGATGGACATAGAAATATTGTGATGAATCTTATCAACGTCAGTCTTTAAAGGACGCACACACATTGTGTATGCGTCTTGTGGGCACGTTCACGTCTTCTTGCACGGGCCCAACGTGCAAGACCGATGTGGCCGTATGACGCGCGTATTAATCTTGCTTGAATGCACAAATGTGTGTGTGTGTGTGTGTTTTTTTTTTTTTTTTTTTTAATTAAGAACGCTACAACATCGGAGAGGTTAAGCAAACTTTACACAATCTTAGCTGGCCGATTGGCCCCTTGGCCCCTTTGGGGGCAATTAGCCATCCATGCCCGGGTTCACGGCAATAGAAACAACGGCCGTCGCCGTCCCTACGCCATGTGTTCCAAAGGCGCTCCCCTTGGCCGCGAGGGCGAAGAGGGGGTTCAGGACGGGAGGTGGGATGGGTGGGCCGAGTGGGCCTCTTCTTGCTGGCCGCTACAATCTGAGAAGCGGCCTTCACATTCTTATCCTCTACCACTTCCCCATACTTAATCTTAAGGGCCATATTGGCCACTTCGAAACCGCGTTGATCGCGGTAAACAAAAAATGAATCTTCTCTTCCGCCTCCTCTACTATCTGCTGGAGATAGTCGGCGGCTTGTTCCCACCGTCAAGTGGTAAAACCGAGATAGCATGACGTGCAATAGCTTGAATGCGCTCAAAACTAAAAAGTTGCGTACGAATTCCATCGCTTTTAACTAAGGAAGAGCGCAACTGAGGACGTGCAGGTGGAATAGGAGCGAGGGTGAGCGATGCAGAAGCGGATTTCGGGCGGGCGGCATTACCTTCGTCGAGCGTGGCATGGGGTGCTTCCTCGTCCATTTCGTCGTCAACGGGCTCGGGGGCGGGCGCCGGGAGGCGAGAGCGTGGGGCCACCGTCGCTGCGACGCGTGCTGGTTCCGGTGGCGGTGCGGGATCGGCGCCATTGCCCGCTGGAGCGCCGCGAGAAGCCAAGAACGTGGTGAATGGCCTCGTTGTTGGTGCCGGCGTTAACATTGTTGTCGGTGTAGCGAGCAGAATTATGTTCTGCAGAATGAGGCGCTGTAGATGCAGTGGAGCGCGCTGTAACGCGTTCGCAGCAGCTCCTGTGAAGATTCGCTGGAGATTGCGCTGGGCTGCAGGATCCAGGCGCGCAATCATTTCGGCGATTTCTGCTGCTCCAGGGGTCGAGATCTGCGGAATCCCGCGCGGATTCACTGCGGCAGGAGGAAAATCTGTGCGGCGATCTGCGCGATCCCGGTCCCGATCCTCGCGATCCTGGCGAATCTGGGGCGCTGGGGCGTTGAGATCGCGCTCATGATGACGCCCTGCGCGCGCAGGATCACGATCATGATTGTGGTCCTCACGCGCAGGACCGTCATGATTGCGTTCGGTAGGTGGGGGCCGGGAGGGGCGTTTTCGGCAATCGGGTTCGTGTCGACGCGGTTCTGCTCGTTACGCCGCTCGCCTGAAATCCGGGGGGAAATCGCGATTGCGTGACGTGTTACGATCCGCGTCCCCTGCCGCGTTTTCGACGTGCTGAACAGGGTCTTGACGCGCGCCACTCAGCAAATCCAAAGCGGTAACTGCGCCGTTACCTCCGCCACGACGAGGAGAACGAGATCGTTCTCTATGCTGAGATGAAGAGTTTCGGTCCCCCTCACGTACAGGGGACCCACGCCTTCCACCACTCCTAGTATTCACACGAGGAGCAGGAGGCCTACCACTTGCAGCGGAAATGAGTCCGCTAACCATTGTAGAGTATCTAACAGAAATGACGTCTTGCAGCAAGAGACTTCTATGCCCAGATCTGGGCATAGAGGTTTAGAGTGTGCTGGTGGTATACAAGTTGGAACAAAAAAAATTTCTCGTATTTTGTAGGACCCTTATTACGAACAGCATAAAAATATACCCTTACAAAAAAAGTAGCAACAAGCGAATACCCTTATGACAAAGAGTACTTCTAATCCCATCCAGAGGCCTGCTCCTCAGGACCCCAACAGGACGCTGGCATTTGTTACACCCTGTCCCTGCTTGATTCCTTTTTCATCAGCATTTTCATCACGCCTGATAAAAAACATGGATTTTATGGCTGTTTTCAAGGCCCAGCCTCCCAGTAGAAGGATTCACCCCATCATTCCACTCAGTGACTCGGGATATCCCTTGACAGCTGGGGCACTCTCGGCCCTCCTGCCCCTACCATCCCCTGTGGGCCACCTGGCACCGTCTCATTCGACAGCGCAGCGAGGCGCTGAATCAGTACGGCCCGCTGCCTCTTGAATTCTTCCAGCCTGGCAGTCAGCTCAGCAAAGGCAGCAGCAGCAGCTGCTGCTGATGGCGGCTCCCCAGCCCCCCCTGCTGCAGCCACTGCTGCAGCAGCAGCAGCAGCCGCAGGCGACGGACCAGCAGGTCGAGACTCTCCATCAGCTGCGATTTGAGCGTTAGCCTCGGCCGAGCCTTGCTGCCCAGCCTGGCCGGCAGGTTCGGCTGAGCCTGAGCCTCCCGAACCTGCTGAGCTGGCTGTAGTGCAGCGGCGGCGGCAGCAGCGTTGGCACTGGCAAGGCAGCAGCAGCGGTCTCTGCTGGGCGAGCTGGAGCTTGCGCCTCAACTCCTTGCCTCTCGCCATCTCCGCTTCAAAGGCAGCCTGGGGGAAAACGAAGAGACGAGACGAGCACAGGGGAGAGAAGGGGGAGAGGAGGAGGGGGAGAAGGCAGTGTTAAGACAAGCTGCAGCAGCAGCCCTCTGCTGGGCCAGCTGGAGCCTGCGCCTGAACTCCTTGCCTCTCACCATCTCCGCTTCAACGGCAGCCTGGGGAGGGTGTGGGGGAAAGGGAAAGAGAGAGGCGCGCAGAAGAGCATACGTAAGTCAACGTAAAGAACATTTTGCGGACGGATTGAGGATGGGAAGGGTGGGGGTGTTGGGAAGTGGGGGTCTTGTTAAGGGAGGGAGCGGGGCACGCCCATACGCAGTATCTTTAACTATGAAAGCGTCAAGTGAGTGTCTGTCCCTAGTGCGCCGAGACCGGCAGAAATGGCGGGAAAATAGGCAAACACTCAGCAAACATCCGTGTCGGCACTTCAATCACGCGGCGAACCTCAGGGGCGACGAAGGAAACAGACAGCAGGGAGACAGCAAACTTCTTTCTGAACCTGGGAATTGAGGGTGCTAGTTGGAGGTTCCAACATGTCTTGGGTTCGGACGTTTAAAGCGGTGGAAAACGTTACGGTGTGGTGATACTGATCACTAACGTGGTACAATCTGGTGGAGGTTCGAACAGACCCTCCGAACCCCAACTAACACGCCTCAGGGTGATACTCAATAGAACTGAACAAAAACTAGGTGACACTCAAAAAGCGCTGGAATAACGAAGTTCTACGGGCATGCAGGCACCGCATGCGAAGCTGCGCTAGTTGTGCATGAAGGGCAGAGTTGGGTTGGGAGAGAATTTCGTTGCTTGGTTAACATATGAACTCATCAGTCCTGCTCCTCTTGTCTCTCACCTGCGCCTGCTGCACCCCGCTGCCTTCTGCCACATTACTGAATGTTCCAACGCCACCAGGTCATCCTGCCTCTACAGCTGACAGCATTGCTGCATAACTGCTCTCATCCCCCCCTCACCTGCGCCTGCTGCACCCCGCTGCCTTCTGCCACATTACTGAATGTTCCAACGCCACCAGGTCATCCTGCCTCTACAGCTGACAGCATTGCTGCATAACTGCTCTCATCCCCCCCTCACCTGCGCCTGCTGCACCCCGCTGCCTTCTGCCGCATCACTGCTTGCTCCAAGGCCACCGGATCATCCTGCCCTAACCAAAGCACATCCAGCCACCAATTACCTGCACGTTCTCCTGTGCCATTGGACCGCCAACTGTGTCCCTCCCTCCCCTCTCACCTGTGCATCCCTCCCCTCTCACCTGCGCCTGCTGCACCGCTGCCTTCTGCCGCATCACTGCTTGCTCCAAGGCCACTGGGTCATCCTGCCTCCGCCGCTCCTCCAGCTGACAGGAGTAAGTAGGGGCAATGAGGGGCAATGAGGGGTACAGAGGGGTACAGTGGGGTACGCAGGTCACACAAGGTAGGTGGCAGGGCGTCTGGTGCTCCAACGCCACTGGGTCATCCTGCCTGCGCCGCTCCTCCAGCTGGGGGGTACACGGGAAGGGAGGAGGGGCGGCAGGGTGGGGAGGGTGCAGGGTTACAGGGAAGGAGAGGAGGGCGGCAGGGTGGATTTTAGGCGCCTCAAAACTTGCCTGCGCCGCTCCTCCAGCTGGGGAATACGGGAAGGAGAGGGGGGGAGGCAGGGTGGGCAGGGTGGGGAGGGTGGGGGGGGTTGGTGGGGTTGGGGTGGAAGGCGTGAGGTAGTCGTGGGTGAGGGGGATAGATGGAGTAAACGAGAGTATTTGCGGTAGCCGGAGGCTTAAGGGTCTACGGGCGGAAGGAGTGTGGGTGTGTGTGTGTGCCCAGGAGTGTGTGGTCACACCCACTCACCTCTGCGCTCTGCTGCTCCTTACACTGCTGTCTATTGCCATGGTGTCTATCCCTCTCTTCCCCTCTGCTTCCCTCCCCTCCCCCCTCTCCCTTCCTCCTCTCCTCACTTTCCATCCCTCCCCCCCCGCTCACCCCGCTCACCTCGGCGTTCTTCTGCTGCTCCTCAAGGCACATCGCCATGGTTCTATCCATTCCCTCATGAGCCCTCCCAACCATCCCCAGCCTCCCGCCCCCCTCTCCTCCCCTTCTAACCTCACTCCCCTTACATTACCTCGGCGTTCTTTGCTGCTCCTCCAGGCACATCGCCATGGTTCGATCCAGACCCACTCCTGAGCCCATTCCCCAAACTTCCTCCTCCCCTCCTCCCACCCTCCCCTCCTCCCTCCCTCCCTTCCCTTCCCTCACCTCGGCGTTCTTCTGCTGCTCCTCAAGGCACATCGCCATGGTTCGATCCAGCTCGACTTCAGCTGAGCCTCAGCGACCTCAGCGCGCTCGATCCGCTCTGCTCCGCACTCGCCCCAGTCAGGGGCGCCCCCCCCGCCCCCCCTGCTGCTCCCCCCGCCATCTGCTGCTGCTTTGCTGCTGCTCAGCTGCTGCTGCTTGTGCGTCACGTGCAGCAGCTCCCGCTGCAATGTCTCTGTTTCCGTGCGGAGAAGAGCCACGACTTTTCCAAGGACTCGATCTCCTTGAGCTCTGCCTTGAGCTGGGAGCAGGGGGGGGAAGAAGAGGCGAGAATGGAAGGGGGGGGTGAATGGGGAGGGAAGAGGGAAAGAGCAAGGGACGGGGGAAGAGAAAGTGCGGAAGAGGGGCGGAGTGGGGGAAAAAAGGTCCAGCTGCCGCTGCTTGTGCGTCACATGCAGCAGCTCCGCTGTAGGGTCTCTGTTTCGTGCGAAGAAGAGCACAGATATTTCCAAAGATTGTCCAGGTGTATTTTGAGTCGACTCAAAATACAGCTCCGCTGTAATGTCTCTGTTTCCGTGCAGAGAAGAGCCAGAGATATTTCCAAAGATTCTATCTCCTTCAATTCTGCCTTAAGCTGGGGGGTTAAGGACCATTGCAGAAGACAGGGAGGGTGAGGTGGGGGGAGAGGGGACGAGGAGGAAAGAGGGAGCAATGAGCACAACCACTTCACACAGACTACGCCCCCCTGCACCGCCCTCGCTGCCCACCGCCTGCCCCACCCCTGCCCACGCCCTGCCCCACCCCCCTGCCCCCAGCCTGCCCCACCTCCCTGCCCCCCCCTGCCCCCACGCCCTGCCCCCCACCCTGCCCCACCTGCCCCTGCCCCCACCCTGCCCCCACCTCCCTGCCCCCACCGCCACCCCTGCCCCCACCACCTGCCCCACCGCCCTGCCCCCCCCCTGCCCTCCCTGCCACCTCCCTGCCCCTCACCTCTGGCTCAAGCTCTATCTCTGGCACAGGCCCCTTGATCCCCGTCTGCATGCGCGCATACAGCTCCCTCTGCTCCTCCAGGTCCCGCCGCAACTGAGCCGCCTGGTAACCAGGGGTGGGAGGGTGTCGGGGGTTAGTGAGAAAAGGGTTCTAGTCGGTGAAGGGTAGCGGATGTAGGGTACAAGAGAGGTTGAGTCGATCAGCATACAGCTCCCTCTGCTCCTCCAGGTCCCGCCGCAACTGAGCCGAGTGCAAAGCAAGAAGAAAGGGGGGAAGGAGGAAAAGGAGGGAAAGGAGGGGGAGGGGGGTGGGGGGAGTGGTAGGAGAGGAGTGGAGGTTCTGAGTGCAAACGGGCTTCTGGGTTGAGGTAGCAGAGAGATTGTTCCCTGCGTGCATTCAGCTTCCTCTGCTCCTCCAGGTCCCGCCACAGCTGAGCCGAGTGCTCTAGTCCCTGTACCGTCTCACATCTCGTTCGAGTGCCGCGTTCAGCTCTTGCAATGTCCTGCGGCGCTGGACTAAGCTCTCCTTGAGAGCATGTCGTTTGCCCGCAATTCCTTCCATCACTGCATCCTGATTCCCACACTCACATCTCTCTCTAGTGCTACCTACCTTAAACTCCTGCAATGTCTTCTTGCGCTGCACCAGGATCTCCTTGAGCATGTCGTTCGCTCGCACTTCCATCTCACACCAACTCACGCACGCCCCAATCCCCTGCAACTCACATCTCTCTCCAGGGCAGCCTTCAGCTCCTGTAATGTCTTGCGGCGCTGCACCAGGCTCTCCTTGAGCATCTCATTCACCCGAACTTCCTTGGCCAGCGAGGCCTGCAGCCCCGCTTGCCCTTGACCTTCAGCCAAGCCAACATCACCCTCTCATCTCAGCACTCACATCTCGTTCGAGTGCCGCTTTCAGCTCCTGCAGTGTCTTCCTCCTTTGGACTAAGCTCTCCTTGAGCATCTCGTTCGCCCGCACTTCCTTAGCCAGCGAGGCCCGCAGCTCCTGGCGCGACGCCTCCAGCACCGCCACCTGGGCGCCACTGTCCTCGTCATCGTTGTCCTCATCCACGTCATCATCGTCCACCAGCTCGCCCTCCTCGTCGTCCTCGTCATCCCATGCCGCCCCGCTGTATACTCCCCGTGCTAACCCGAGGGCCTCGCCCTGGGAAGGAGGGTAGGAAGGGGAGGGTTGTGATAAGGAGGGAGGGGATGGGAGGGCGTAACAGAGAGAAATTGGGGGAAGGACCATAGTGGGAGAAAATGAGAGGAGTTTCATCATCGCCATCCACCAGCTCGCCCTCCTCGTCGTCCCATGCTGCTCCACTATAGACGCCCCATGCTAGCCTGAGGGCCTCGCCCTGGGAAGAGCGAGAAGTGGGGTGGGGAAGGAGCAGGGGGGGGGGGAGGTTATTGGGAAGAGAGGAAAGCACCACCTTGTCGTCATCATCGTCCGCCAGCTCGCCCTCCTCGCTGTCCTCGTCATCCATGGATAGAGGAATGGTGAGAGGCATGGATAGAGGCATGGTGAGAGGCATGGTGAGAGGCATGGTGAGAGGCATGGATAGAGGCATGGTTAGAGGAATGGTGAGAGGCATGGATAGAGGCACGGTGAGAGGCATGGTGAGAGGCATGGATAGAGGCATGGTGAGAGGCATGGATAGAGGCATGGTGAGAGGCATGGATAGAGGCATGGTGAGAGGCATGGTGAGAGGCATGGATAGAGGCATGGATAGAGGCATGGTGAGAGGCATGGATAGAGGCATGGTGAGAGGCATGGTGAGAGGCATGGTGCGAGGCATGGTGCGAGGCATGGTGAGAGGCATGGATAGAGGCATGGTGAGAGGCATGGTGAGAGGCATGGATAGAGGCATGGTGAGACCAATGGGAGCAATGGTGAGAGGCATAGTGAGAGGGTAAACCCAAAACATGAGGTAAATCGTCATGGTAAACGCTCCTCACATGCTCGCAAACCACTCACCACGAACACCTTGTCGATATTCTCCATGAGGAAAATCGTCATGGCCTGTGCCTCAAAGCCGCCGTGGTGAGAGCCATGATTTGAGCCGCAGCAGCAGCAGCAGCACTCTGCTCCCCATCAGTATTATTACAATGCCCACCAAGCACTCACCACGAACACCTTGTCGATATTCTCCATGAGGAAAATCGTCATAGTCTGTGCCTGGTTAGCTGCCATGGTCAGAGCCATGATCTGGGCCGCAGCAGCAGCAGCGCTGTCCTCCCCATCCTCCTCATCTAGACCCCCCCCTCGGCTGCGGGACCTGGGAAACCCCCTCCCCCCTCCTCCCCCGCGGGACGAAGTTTGAAGTTCCCCGCTGAAAAGAGGGCGGAAGAGCAGCGGCGCCATGCATGCTGCAACAGCAGACGCGTTCATCCTATTGACCGCCTCGTTGTTGGTTATGGCGATCATGGTCTGCAGCACACTGTGGGTTGAGGGGAACGGGGCAGGAACATGACAGGGGGCGGGAAAAGGAGGGTAAAGGAGTGCCATGCTCATGATGCGTTCATCCTATTGACAGCCTTGTTGTTGGTTATGGCGATCATGGTTTGGAGCACACTGCGGGTCGAGGGAACAGGGAGAGGAGAGGGGGCAGGAATCAGGACGGAGGCAGGGGAGTATGGGAATGATGCAAAAAGAAGCACCCGTAAAATGTCAAGAAATGCCCAACCCCCATGCCCCATGCCCCATGCCCCATGCCCCATGCCCCATGCCCCACGGCCCATGGTTACCGGTGCAGCAGGCGTCTATTGGGCTCTGGCAGGTTCAGCATGGCTGTGCGCACTGCCTCTAGCTTTGCCTCCGCCTCCTCTTGCTCTGCGGTTGTGGGGGGGGAGAGGGGGGGTGTGGGGGAAGGGGTGGGGTGTGGGGGGAAAGGGGGGGGCGTGGGGGGATGAGTGGGGTGGTTTGTGAATGATTATTGAGGGACGCACAGCACAGCAGGGCTCTGCGCACTGCCTCTAGCTTCGCGTCCGCCTCCTCTTGCTCTGTGGTTGTGGGGGGAAGAGAAAGGCGATAGGGGTTATTAGGCACGGAAATTGAAGGAGAGGGGGAGAGGGAGGGAAGGGGGGGGGGGGGAGAAACTGTAAATGTTTTTTGGGGCACTTCATTGTCGCATAAATGGGAAGGACACACGCACGCACGCGCGCACGCAAGCACGCACATGGAAAGCTCCTCTTTTACGAGGGAGAGCGGGACTGACGAAATGCATGCCAAAGACTCACGGAATACTTGCTCGAGTGCAGTGCAGGCATATGGCAGCACGGGTGACGTTGGCACGAGCCCTCCAAAGGCTCATATGGAACAGGTGCTTTGCTTTGGAGGTAGGGACTCACGGAATGCTTGCTCGAGTGCAGTGCAGGCATATGGCAGCACGGGTGACGTCGGCAGCTCTCGAAGGACAAGCTGCAGACACAAATGGTCGGATAGGGGGCAGGGAGTAAGGGGGAAAAGAAGGGGCGAGGGGGGGGAGAGGAATAAAAAGTGAGTTTGTATTGAAGGTTTAACCATAGGGAAAGAAGAGGACAGATGGTTGTGGGAGGAAAGGGAGGGAGAGGAAGGAAGGACGTCCTTGCAGGGGGGGGGGGACGACAGTCTCAAGCTTATATCAATTTAACATGCTGGCACTATCTTAGGAACCGAGAATTGAACCTTCCACCTTGACTCGGTCAGGTATCCACCATGAGTCAATCAGCTATCCACCTTGACTCACTCTGCCACCTACTACACGCAATTCTCCCCATCCTCATACTCCATGAGCCTCCTTCCCACCTGCTTCAATCAGCCCATCGCAACCAACAGCCCACCTTGAATCAACCAATGGTGTTTGGTCAAAGACTCGCCTTGACACAGTCGCCCACGACGTGCGGGTTCTCCCCGTCCTCAAACTCTCTGTGCCCCTCCTCGTACTCCTCAACCTCCTTCCACCCGCAACCCTTGCCCACAACCAGCTGCCCACAACCGACCGCCCACAACCAAGTGCCCACTCTGACGCAACCACTACCAGCTCACCTTGATGCAGTCGCCCACGACGTGCGGGTTCTCCCCGTCCTCAAACTCCGTGTGCCCCTCCTCGTACTCCTTCAACCGCCTCTCCACCTGCTCCTCCTAACACAACCAGCTCACCTTAACACAGTCGCCCACAACATGTGGGTTCTCCCCGTCCTCAAACTCCGTGTGCCCCTCCTCGTACTCCTTCAACCGCCTCTCCACCTGCTCCACGTCCGCTGCTGCGCGCGCAGAATGCCCTCGAGCTTCACGCCTGCCAAAACAGCGGGGAGAGAGGGCAGGGATGGAAGGGTTGACATCACAGAAGGGGAGCATGAGAGAAGGGGCAAGCAGCCGCCTCTCCACCTGCTCCACCTCCCCTGCTGCACGCGGGATGCCCTCCAGCTTCACCCCTGGGGCCATGAGGCGGGGGAGGGAGGAGAGAGTGAGAGCAACATCAGAAGGAGCGAAACGCTAACGCTGTCCTTCAGCACCTTCTCAACCTGCTCCACGTCCGCTGCTGTGCGTAGGATGCCCTCAAGCTTCACGCCTGCCAGCACAGTGGGGAGCACGGAGGGGACGGAAGGAGCAACATGAGAGGGGAGCAAAAAGCGCACTCTCCCGGTGAGCCGCCTCTCCACCTGCTCCACTTCCACTGGTGCGTGCAGGTTGCCGTCCAGCTTCACCCCTGGGACCATGAGCGTGGGGAACGAGGTGTTGAGAGCAAACCAGGGGAGTATGAGAGGGGGGCAAAGAGCACACTCTATTCTTGAGCAGCCTCTCCACCTGCTCCACATCCGCTGCTGCACGCAGAATGCCCTCCAGCTTCACGCCTGGCAACACAGGGTAGAGGAGGGAGATGGGGCATGGAGGTGTTGGCAAGAAAGCAGGGAGGGTATGAGAGGGGAGCAAGCAGCAGACTCTGTCTATCACCCGCCTCTCCACCTGCTCCAAATCCGCTGCAGCATGCAGGATACCCCCCAGCTTCACCCTGGGACCATGGGGGAGAGGGAAGGAAAGGGCAGGGAAGGGGTGCAGGGTGAAGGATGGAGTGACGGGCTGAATGAAACTGGCTGCTTGAAATTTCAGAGCAATCAAGCCAGAATCCCGGCCCTTGAGCTCTTTTGAACTGGAGAGCCTCACCTTTTCCACGGCTCACCATTGATCTCTATGAAGCGCAGCTGCGCAGGGCATTTTTGAGGAAGGAGGGCGAGCCATTGAGCCCTCCAGGGCACTCAAGCAACCACAAGCCTCTGTGAGCCTCACCACAAGTGCCTATGGAGCTCAGAGTCAGCACGAGTGGCTATGGGGGGGAAGGCTCACCGTGAATCTCTATGAAACGCAGGGCCTTCTCGAGGAAGGAGGGCGAGCCGTTGACGTCCTCCAGGGCGAGGGAGAAGGGGCGGCACAGCAGCATGGAGCGCAGGCGCCGCTCCTTGCCTGGTGGGGAGGGGGGACGGGAGAGGAGAGGAGAGGGGAGGAGAGGGGAGGGGCGAGGGAAATAGGTGAGAGGAGAAGGGAGAAGGGGCGGCACAGCAGCATGGAGGGCAGGCGGCAGGCACTCCTTGCCTGGCGGGGAGGGGGGGGGACGGGAGAGGAGAGGAGAGGGGAGGAGAGGGGAGACAGGGAGGGGCGAGGGGAATAGGTGAGACTCATCATCACGGAGGGCCGATGATGAAGGCCCATGCATGCATGACTAAGCCGCCTATGCCCAGCAAAGCACAGCTCTTCACCTGGCCCTGGGGGCCGTCGTTGTTGCCTATGTCGAGCCCATCCCTTCTGAAGAGCGTGTCGTAGGGCAGACCCATCATCACGGAGGGCAGAGGGTTGGCCCAGGCATGCCATGGCAGAACATCCCATGCCCCAAACCCACCTGATCCTGGGGGCTGTCGCTGTCGCCTATATCCAGCCCATCCCTTCTGAAGAGCGTGTCGCGGGGCAGACCCATCATCACGGAGGGTGGAGGGATGGCCCAACAACGCCCTCTGCTGCCCCAGACTCAACGAGACCAAGCAGCCTATGTCCAGAACAGCGGCCCACCTGGTCCCGGGGGGGCGTCGTTGTCGGCTATGTCCAGCCCATCCCTCTAAAGAGCGTGTCACAAGGCAGACCCATCATCACTGAGGGCGAAGGGGATGGTTCAAGCATGCCGTGCTTGGGCCATCCCAGGAACATCGCAGCCTTTCACCTGGCCCTGGGGGCCCGTCGTTGTCGCCTATGTCGAGCCCATCCCCTCGGAAGAGCATGTCACAAGGCAGACCCATCATCACCGAGGTCGGAGGGGTGGCCCAAGCATGCCATGGCAGAACATCCCATGCCCCAAACCCACCTGGTCCTGGAGGCCCGTCGTTGTCGCCTATGTCGAGCCCATCCCCTCGGAAGAGCGTGTGGCGCAGCAGACCCATCATCACGGAGGTCGGAGGGGTGGCCCAAGCATGCCATGGCAGAACATCCCATACCCCAAACCCACCTGGTCCTGGAGGCCCGTCGTTGTCGCCTATGTCGAGCCCATCCCTCGGAAGAGCGTGTCGCGGGGCAGACCCATCATCACGGAGGGCGGCGGGGCCTTGGAGATGGCGTCCTCCAGGGCGTCCCTCCACTCCTCCAGGTCCTCCAGCGTGTCGGTCTGAGAAAGCGCAGGGGGAAGGCACAGGGGGAAGGCACAGGGGGAAGGCACAGGGGGAAGGCACAGGGGGAAAGCACAGGGGGGTGATGGGAATAAGGGATTGAGAAGGGCGGAGGGGCATTAGAGATGGCGTCCTCCAGCGCGCCACTCCACTCCTCCAGGTCCTCCAAAGCATCGGTCTGCGACGGGGCAGAGAAGGGACGAAGAGACGAGGTTGGGAGGGGGAAGGGGGGATTCGGTGAAGGAAACCGTGGAAACCTTGGAGATGGCGTCCTGCTACACGTCCTTCCCCTCCCCTCTGCAGTGTTGGTCTGAGATCGGAAGGGGGCGTGGCCACTGTGCGTGATGAGGGGCAGCAGTGTGAGTGAGGGGCAACGCAATGACTGTGAGCACGTGAGGGGAGGGGAGTGACGGGAGCATGAAATCTGGACTGGACCTTGTAGGTGAAGGCACGGTGTTGGAGGCAAAGCGACGGGCTAGCACGGATGTTGACGGTGCAGGCATAGACCGTACGGACTGACTGATGGCTCACAGAGAAGGGAGGGCCGACCTTGAAGGTGAAGGCGTGGCCGTCAGGGACGGTGAGGGAGAGGGAAGGGCGAAGGGAGATCGCATGGCATGGCACGGACCTTGAAGGTGAAGGCAGGCCGTCAGGGAAGATGAGGGAGAGAGGGAGGGAAGGAGGGAGAGGGGAGAGGGCATGGCACGGACGGACCTTGAAGGTGAAGGCATGGCCATCTGGGAAGGTGAGGGAGAGCTGCTTCTTGTCGGGCTTGATGTGCACCCTGGTGGGCCGTGGCACATCAAGGCGGCACATATGGGAGCGTGTGGAGAAGGTTTATCGACATGGGCAAGGAATCATTGGATCGAGATCAGGGGAAGGTGGGGGAGAGGAGAGCTGCTTCTTGTCGGGCTTGATGTGCACCCTGGTGTTGCACATGCACGCACGCACACGCACATTGGCGCACGTGGAAGCACATGGAAGCACATTGACGCACATGGAAGCACATGGACGCACATTGACGCACATGGACGCACATGGACGCACATGGGCAACATGTCAACCACGAGGCAAGGAGCAATCAGTCTATGACGAAAGCTGAACAAGGCAAAGCCGGTTCCGCAGGGTAAGGGCAGCGAGAGTGGTTGGGGGGGGGGGGGGAGAGGGGGGGTAGGGTAGAGCGAGAGGAGTGTAGAGGCAGAGAGAGGGAGAGGCAGCCTTACTTTCCAGCGTTGTTGAATTCGATGCCTCCTATGGCCGATGAGATGTCAATGCGACCCTCTGCGTGGAGAGGAGGGAATAATTATGAGGAAGGGTGGAGAATCACTGGGACTAAATAAACCAAGGGGGTCGTGCACACACACACCCATTGGCTCGTTAATGTCACACTGATTCACTACAGTCACGCGCTTACTGGCTCGTGCTTGAAGAAGATGAGGGAGGAGCGCGTGAGGAGGAACCAACGCCGCTTCCATGACTTCCACCCCAAACCTGGGAGGGAAGCAAAGCGGGGAAACGGGAGAGCAGGGGCGTAAGGATCAAGAGAAAATGAAAACGAGTGAGAAGGAACCAACGCCGCTTCCATGACTTCCATCCTAAACCTGGGAGGGAGAGCGGGGGGTAATGAGAAAAGGGGGGAGAGAAGGGAAGTTAGGGAAAAAATGGATAACACGCAGGTTCAAGCTCTGGGTACAATGTAGGGCCTTGCCTTGCTTCTCGAAGTGCATTAAAAGACGGGATTCGTTGAACGAAAGTCGCCTTTTGAAGGAGGCTCACCTTTAGACGACACGGATAGATGTCCACTCTTGTACACCTGTCGGATGGACGCATGCAACGCCGCAAACGAAACGCGGCAACATAGAAGAGAGAGATAAAAAAAACTGAGCAAGAGAGGAGCCGAGCTATTTCTCTCTAAAAACAGCAGCCAACGGCGCCATGATCAATACAAGCGATCGTGAGTATACCTCGCCCCACCGATCCCCGTCCCCGTCTTGTGTCCTGGATCTACAATGCTTGACGCCGCCTTGAAGGCGCACACACAGTTTATCCCCTGAATTCGCCGGAATATGGGAAACTCACCCCTTGGTACCTGGGCCTCGGAAAGGTCGGACCATCACGGAAACATCTATCCCACTCAATGCGAGAAAAACTATTGGAATTGTGTCAAAATCAATGCTAAAAGCATTAAAAGAAGGGTCACGTCGCCAACTCACCCCTTGATACCTAGGCCGTGGAATGTCCATCACGGGACCGTCTAAGCCACTCATTGCGAGAGACACGCCGAGAGCACTCTATGCGAATGTTCGAATGAGCACGATGCGTCGCGTCGATGTTAGAATCGCGAGCCGTCCGAATGAATTGCGTCGTCGCCAGAAGCTACCAGGAGCCCTGAGGCTGAAGGCTAAACGAATAGCTGACGGAATGGAACTAAAGCGGTAAGGCTCGGGACCGGACGCCTCAACAACGGTCAATAATGGCAGGAGGGGAGGTCGAGAGCATGGAGTAACGACCAAGGTGGAGACAGAGCGTAGATGCAGGCACCAGTGAAATCGCCTGTAAAACAGTTGGTTGGGACCCAAGTTTACCAACTGTAGAACAGTTGGTTGGGACTAAAACTACTGATTGGCCAGCGAGCTGCAGGCACTAGTGAAATCGCCTGCGAGTGTTGCAATTCACGCACCCTCACGACACAAAACCTGGGTTCTCCCAACCAACTGTAAAACACTTGCCCCAGGTTCTAGAAACTTGGGTCCCTGGCTTTAAGCGTGAATAAACTACTGACGAGCTACATAAGCTCCTTAAATAGCGCTGTTGTCCGGCGCACTTGAAAATGATTCAACCACGGCGTTCGCAGTCACTCAGAAAAGGAATGCGTGGTTCTGCTTAGTCAACTAGGGCTGCACCTGAAGCCAAATGATTATTTATCGGTTGCAGAATGAGACACCAGTTCGACCGAGAATACGGATTCGTTCTTCGCACAATGCTTCACACTTTTAAACGAGAACGGTCCGTCGACAATGACTCCGGCTAATAACTATCACTGCAATTGCCGAGCCGAAGTCAGAAGGTTCAGGATCCCAGGCGGCATAACCTAGGCTGCCATGAAACAGAGACAGTAAAGAAATGAAGTTTCCTGATGGATTGGATGGCCTCACAGTAGACAAGTGCTTTGGTTCGTTGGGGTGGGGACGGAATTCCCAAGGTCGGCTGCTTTCTGATCATCAGCGAGAATTTCGCGAGGTTTCAAATCAAACTGCTGTCTCGACTCGAGGTTGAGAACTTCATGCGACAGATCCTCGTGCTCCAACGCGCGCGAGGAACAGTATTCGCGAAGAGCGGTAACCATGCGAGCACGACGATTCACTGGTCACTGGTACTGTATCTAGCATCAGAGTGTGGGTCGTGGTCGCATCTGTGGTCAAGGAGCGTTCAGAGAACGTTTTGCCAGAAACCCACCTGCATCTGTACCGATAAAAGGGACTTCGTTATATGCAATACCAGTAACGTACAGTTGATAGCACTCATATATGAGGTGATTAAACACAATATAAGCGTTACAATAATTTGGGATGTTCAAATGTATGTACACGACCATTGCCATAAGCCCACCAACCAGCTTGAATATCAGCCACGAGACCCTAGTAGAGTCCACTTCACGTTCCACCAAAATCCTACAAGTGCCACGACCGTTAGCACAAAGAGCCGCATCCAGGCAACCATATGTGTCTGCGCAAGCAGATACATGTTAACACAGATGCCCATAAGAGGCACAAATGGGACCCATGGACACGCAAACCCGGACGCTGGCACACTGAAACGCTGAGAAAGGAAAATCGGTGCAGAAGAAGCCAGCGACAGGAGGAAGAGAGGGACGAGCAGCAGCCATGATGCAGCAAACCGGGTGGCAAATCCCAAGGACAGGACGCATGCAACTAAGACACAGACGTACACCACCGCCTCATGCCACTTGTCACCACCCCATTGGGCAATCCAAGGAGGGGGCGGCGGAACACGTGCGTGTAACATAGTTGCGGGACCATTGCTTGTTGTACCAATAGTGGAGACTAGGCCCCTCTGTGCCAGAAGTGCATCTCCTACTTGGTCTCCACCCCCACCCTCCACACCAGCACACCCCCCTTCACCTCCATGGCAGCGCTCCACTCTTAAAGCCAGCACGCACATACACACTATAGAGTAACTCAGTAACACGCCCACCGACAGGATATGCGACAGCCTCCCGACATCGAATCCTGCTGCCATCACCGCCGCCACACCTCCCACCCACCACTGCGCATGCACCGGCACATGGCTCCGCCCATTCACCTGCAAAAACCACCCCGGCAGCATGCCATCCCTCGCCAGTGCTAAATACATGCGGGACTGCACATACAGCCCCGTTAGGAGCGTAGTCGTGAGGCCCACTACCGCCCCTATGTCGATGATCCGCTCCATGAAGTGGAGTCCGAGCGAGGAGAAGGCGGAAGAGAGGGGTGCGGAGGGGTCGAGAAGGGTGAAGTGGACCATGCCAGTGAGGACAAGAGAGACGGAGATGTAGAGCAGCGAGCAAACGGCGAGGGAGAGGAGGAGACCGCGGGGCACGTCGCGGCGGGGGTGCAGGGACTCCTCAGCTGTGTTGGCCACGGCGTCAAAGCCGATGTACGAGAAGAAGACGAGAGAGGCGGCTGATAGCATGGCCTGGACGCCACCAACGCTGCTGCTGCTGGCTCCACTGACGGTGGTTGCAGCAGCAGAGGCAGCAGACGCAGTGGCAGTGGCAGCAGCAGCAGCAGGGACGGCAGCAGAGGCAGTAGTAGTAGCAGCGGCAGGAGCAGCAGAGGCCAGGAGGGAGTTCAACGATGGGGGGAAGAAGGGGCTCCAGTTCGCAGGGTTGACGTACCGCGCGCCCACAGCCACCACGAGCACCACTATGGCCACCTTGGTAGACGTCATCACGTCGTTCACCCTCGAGGTCTCCCTCACCCCACGGCACAGCAGCCACGAGATAAGCAGCAGGACAGCTGGCGCGACCAGATTGATCGAGAGGTCTAGGGTCAGTACGGGTGGCACCGGGCTTTGTCCCCCGACCACCAGTCGGAAACCCACCAGAGGAGCCAAGAGGGGGAGAGAAATGGCAGGGGGATGGAAATAGGCAGGCCTCCTGGTGCCAGCACTGCAGGTAGCCCTACCCCAGATGCCACCTCCACCAGAGACGCCAAATAACTCGCCAGGCTCCTGGCAATCGCTGCCGCCCCCACGTGGTAGTCCAGCACCAAGTGGCAAAACAGGACAAACGACGCGAGCTGCCCGAGGCAGGCGTGCGCGTAGAGGTATGCGCCGCCCACGCGGCCGGGGAAGCGGGCGGCAAGGTCGGCATAGCAGAGCGCGTTGAGGAGCGACGCCAAGCCGGCCAGGAGAAAGGATAACGACACGGATGGGCCGGCCAATCGCGCGGCGACACCTGTCACGACGAAGATGCCCGAGCCAATGGACGCGCCGATGCCGAGGAGGATGAGGTCGAGGAGGGAGAGAGAGCGGGTGAGCGCGGGGGGCTTGGGTGGTGGCGGCAGCATAGACTCTGACAAGTGCTGGGCGGAGGAGCTTGCTCGTTCCCCCGCTACCTCCCCTGCTCCTTGCGAGATCTGCCGATTGCTGGCCCAAGTTTGGGCCTCACCTTGGGCCTCATCTTGGGCCTCACCTTGGGCGTCATCTTGGGCCTCACCTTGGGCGTCATCGTGGGCCTCTCCATCCCTCCCTTCTTTCTCCCTGTCTTCTCCATCTCTCCCTCTCCAGAGTCCTCGTCCACCTCCTGCCTTTCCTGCGCCCCCTGTCTCGTCAGCCTCGCGGATTGGGTGGATCCCTGACAGGAGCGGGTCGGAATCGGTATTTCCAAGGCTCACGGACTCGAAAGGGTAAATTACTCTCGACGGAACGCTGCTGCCGCCGCCGCCGCCGCCGCCGCTACTGGCGCCGTGAATGCCGCTCGCGCTGGTGCTGGTGGTTGCAGCCGTAGGAGGCGTGGAAACGGCGATGCCGCCAGCTAGGCCTGCCACGTCAGCGGTGGAGGGAATCTTGACGTGGACAGCTGCTGTCACGAAATTCTGCCACCAGGAGGACGAGGAGGGTGGGGATGACGACCGCCACGTCATACCACCAGATGACGTGGCATTTTCGACGCTCTGCTCATCCCGCGCGCGCTGCCGTTGAAGCCGGTGCTCGGAATTAAGATCCGCCATCAAGCGTGCCGACTGAAAGGTTCTCAATGACTCGTCGCTCCTGACCTACTAGTGAAGGATCTAGCGCGAATTGCGGGCACAAATTGCGTGTAGTGCACGAATCGAGTGGATCTCGGAGCTTGGAATCTCTTCCTCTGCTATCCTCAGGGCGGCGAATCGGCGATCGGTCAACTTTGGCGAAGCAACAGCTGTTACCCTGCCTCTCACAACTCCAGATGAGCGCTATGACAAGCAAGGAAAGAGCTGCAGTAGGAGCCCTTAGTGGGGTAGTGCTATTTTCGCGGTAGAGGGGAGTGAGGTGTGGTTTGAAAGGGTGAGGAGGGCAACTCGAATGCGGGCAACACAAATCCCAGGGGAGAGAGGAACGGCGGAGCGAAGTTGCAAAGCGTGTAAACTATAAGGTGCCAACCAGCACTTCTAGGTGGATGTGTGGATCATTATTTAAATTCATAAAAAGCATAAGTACAAGCAGCATAACAAGCATGGAAATGCCTGGTCAGGATAGCACCCTAATCTATCCTGGCCAGTAATTTCAATGCTTGTTGAAACAAGCACAACAAGCACAAAAACGAGCACGCATCAACGAGGCCATGCAATAGCCATATGCAAGTGCAAATGGTTGGCAATGAATGAATATAATCATTCAGTGCCAACCATTCCCAACCAGGAGCCATTGATGCCCGGCCATTGCCCCAGCCATTGCCTCCCTTGTCTGCACCTCGCCCTCTTGTTCCACCTTGTCAGTGGATGAAGTGGTGGAGGGAGGAGGGAACCACGTGGAGAACGTCATGGAGATGCACAGAGGAGAGCAGCTGATCAGGTGCGACCGGAAGCACGCTCAGCATAACCTTGGGAACATGGTGCACGAGTGGCATGTTGCTGCTGCTGACAAACGACGAGATCTCCATTCCACCGCCAAGGGAGGAGAGCGCATCTACCGTCCCTCCAGCAGCAGCAGCAGCCGCTGCAGCAGCAGCATCAGCAGTACCAGCGCCAAAGCTCCCGCTTCCCACAGCCGACGTCAGCGCGTGAGACGCACTGTACGCAGAGGCAGCCACAGCTTTGACCCCTACTTTCCCTCCCAGCACCTTGGCTCCAGCCACCTTGGCCTTGAGCTTCAGCTTCAGAAGGACGCTCTTGGCCTTGGCGGAGTAGAAGGGCACCTTGAGCTGGGAAGCCACCAGGGCGTTACTGACCTGCTCCACAGGCACTTTGGAAACTGAAGCATCCTCTTCCGCACCCGGCATGTTATTCTGTGGAGTGTAGCTGCCGTTACTATCTACAGTGCTGCTGCTGTTACCGCTGGAGTTTGCCGAGCCGCTGGCCTTTTCAGCATGGCCTGAAGCAGCACCATCGCCATTCCGGGACATAACTGCCCACGCGCCGGCGTTTACAGCAGCAATGACGAGCCCAGCCACACCCAGCCCAATCTCCGGAACCTCTCCCTGTGCCAGGGCAGAGAGCAACCCGCCCCAGATGGGGATGGATGTAAAAACCAGCATGAGGGCCGGCGCTGGCATGTCTTGCAGGCACTTCATCTCCATCCACGTGCCTAGTCCGGAGCACATGAGCCCGCTGTAAATCAGCGGCAGCAGCGCCGCAGTGCTGGGAACTGCGGGGCCCGCATGTGCCGCAGCAGCTGCAGCATCGGTGATTATGGGCAAGATGCCGTGTGGGAAGGCGGACGAGGAGGAGGAGGAGAGGAGGTGAAAGAGGAGGGAGGAGAAGAGGGAGAGGGAGGCGAGAGAGGAAGTCTGCACGGCGGTGAGGGAGAGCGGGTCGAAGCAGGTGCAGTGGGCCTCGCAGCGGAGAAGGGAGACGAGGGAGAGCAAGCACGCGAGCAGCGGCCACGGGGTTGATAGGGGCAGCGACTGCCCCAGGCCGGAGAGAAGGGCGGATGGCCCTGCGCCTGTGGAGGCCCCGCTCGCGGCAACGAGGGCCACCATCGCGACGAGCGCGGACACGATCGGTGCACGGGATGTGCGGCCGCTTCCGACTCCGCTGCTGCTGCTGGAGCCGTTGGTGGCTTCGCGGTGGAGGCGGTCGGCGAATTGGAGAAGGGGGAGGAGTAGGAGCTGCAGGGAGAGCAGACGAGGGATTACAAAGGGGAGAGACGTGGAAGACAGGGGTGAGCACAGTGGACCGGCCGTGGCGGGCAACAGCTTGAAACGAAGCGAAACGGAAACGGAACGAAGGCTTTGTCAGGGGGGTGAGCAGAACGGAGAGCATGATGACACATCGGATGTGTGGAGAATGATATGGCAGGCCCAAGGCACGTACCGAGAGCACTAGCAGCAGCGGGGTGGAGGCGCTATCGGCGTCGGTGAACTGCGACAGCAGGTCGCCCAGGAAGCTGTACGACGCTAGCTCCACTCCCGCCGTCACCACCGCCGCCTTCTCCGCCGCCTTTTCCGCCACCTTCTCTGCTGTCATAACAGATGACGACGCTTCTTTCTCCGATGGCGGCGAAACCCTCCCCTCGGCTGGGCCCAGGTGACCCCCGACTGGCAGGGACGATTCCAGTTCAGGTTCCAGCGGGCCTTTGGCGGACGTCGTCGCAGATCGCACACTGTCGCCCAGGCGACCCGCTGCTGCGGCTGCGAAGGTGCTGACGGCAGTAGGGGCGAACGGGAGCGCCGCTGCGGCGAATCGGATGGGTGAAGCGTATTCGGCGGGAACGTGATCCATGAGGGGCGCCAAATGCGGGGCGATATGACTCAACGGATGGGTTGATTCCGTGGCGCGTGCCACGGCGGACGCGGAGCCGTAAAGCGCGGCGAGCCCGTTTGCGACGAGAAGCCCCTTCCGCCAGCGCCGCCTGCTGCTGGGGGAGGCGGCCGCGGAAGCCGCTCCGCCGCCGCTTGGGCGCGGGGAAAGAGGGACGCGCGGGCGCGGTGAGGGAGTCGGGGGAGGCCTTGGGGAGGGGGACGTGAAGGACGGCCACGTGATAGCAGAACCGCCGCTAGGAGTGCCTGCAGTGTTCGATGGAGGCAGGTGGCTAGTAGTACTAAACGAAGATTTACCGCCCGCCGATGCGGCGGAGGAGAAAGCCGTGGAGGCTGTTACTTGCGACGGCGCGTGGCGTTTGGTGGTCGGAAGGCCGCCGCGGCCGAAGCTAGCTGGAGGCAAAGAGCGCCTGGGAATGGAAATGGAGAGACCCGATCCAACGGCTGTGGCTGCTTGGGAGGAGATCTGAGTCAGCCCGGAGGCACACGCCATGGTGCTACTAGAACGGCGGTAGACCTAGCGACTCTAAATCGAGCGGAATTTCGGAGTCTAAGTCTCGGGCTGCTGGAGCTGCTCGCGTTTCTTTCGCAATTTGGAAGAATTTGAGTTCGCGTTGCTGCTGCGGGGCTGAATGGAGCTGGCTTCTATCTCGATGCGAGAATGCTCGCAAGGGCCCTGGGCTGCCTTGCTCGAGAGCAACGCAAAAGAGAGAAAGGCGTTTCGTGCTGCTAGTTGGAAAGGAAAGCGCGCGCTGATGTTCGAAAATCACAGAAAGTCGGAATTTGTAATCGGGCTGATGTACTAGGGAAAGCTGGGGCAATTTTTGGTCACAAGGGGAAGGGCCTGTGCGTGGGTGACAGTAGTAGGAGCACAGCACAACAGGAAGGTTGCACCCAGTGCAGTACTGTTCCTCCCTCCCCTAGATTCCTCACTCCCCTGCTTCCTCCCCTCAATGCTCCAATAATTTCGAATGTGCGACTCGAGAGACCCATGTCACGCGACGCGGCTCCGCGAAGAGTGCATTCTTCTCCGCCAAGCTGGCTGTGGTTGGCTCTTGTTGAAAGGGCATGCGTGACATGCGGCAGGTTCGGGGCGAATCTCGAGGACAAATCACGGTGAAGTCGGTGGTGAGCAGCCGAACCGCTTTTTGCCGAGAGCCTGAAACATTGCTGAGTCACGTCCTAGATTTTGGGCACTCACTCCACAAGGGCCACAACTTTTTTCGTGGCTTCCCGCATTCGAGGAAAAAAACCCCATGATGCAGGAAGAATCGTCTAGCAGCTCGTGCGTTTCTGGAAAAATCACGTGTCTGGTGGCACGTTGATCTGGGGGGGGGGCCTCTCAAGACAATCCAGCTGGCAGCTTGTCGTGCAGGTTTGAGCTTTGACTGCTCCAGCCAGCTGCTCCAGCCAGCTCCACCTCCTCTCGCGTGAGGCGGTGAAGGCATTACCAGGGCAGGCTGTTCTGAAACTGCCACGAGGCCAGTTAGCTGCTACGTTCTGCGAAAGGCACTGGTTTCTCCTGCGAAGCAGGGGCAAACTTCACTCCGTCGCCCGTCAACCACCCGTCAAAGCGTGAGTCATTATGGAAAATAATGGGAGTGAAGAGAGTTTCAACTTGCACATGATTGTATAACTTCGTGTGCGTTGAAAAGCATGTTAGCGCATTTCACCTACACATTGAAAGGTGATGCCAGTCAGGGCTTATCTTTGACTTTTCTGAACTCTGATTTTCACCAGTAGCTCATGGGCTAACTCTGAAATCCAGGGTGCCCTGGACCGGAACTCTGATTTGCCAGGTTTTTGTGCCTTATCAGAAAAAAAACCCTGTCCGCCTAGAATTTGGAAGAGATCTAGAATTTGCCCAGCAAAAAGTATTGTCTCACATCCACATGGCACGGTAACAGAGCAGCATCTCATCAATCATCATCATCATCATCATCATCATCCTCATATGAACCCTCACTAGTGCTGCAATCTCCTCATCCGAATCCTCGGCTGCACTCTTGCCTTTGTCGAGGGGAGTCTCATAGGCCACTGTCTTAGCCTGCTTTCGCATCTTCTGTTTCCTCCAGATGTCAACGATCTCGGCGTAGTCCATGTCGTAGTCCAGCATGTTGATCGTCATGAGTTCGCTCAGCCTTGCATCGCACAAGCTCGTCCGCAGCCACGACTTGATCACGTTCTGTCTGCTGAATCCTCTTTCACACTCCACTGTGCTCAGTGGAAGCACAGCCATGGCCTGCCACAATGCCATCAGGTTGGGATAGCTCTTAGGCCAGTCGCGGGTCTTGAGCATGGCAGCCAGCCCCTGGTTGAAGTCATCATCCGCCCGGTGGTTCTTCATGATGTGAACAAAGGTCTTGAGCTCCAGCTCGGCCGCCCTTTGGTTCACTCCTGGAATTGGGGTTTGGTTGGAATAGAAGCAGAGGACAACGGTTTAGTATCCATCCTAGGGCAAGGCAAACTGACATTTAACAACGAATGATACGGTTGTGTTAACGGAACTACTGACTTACCTGGCAGCTTGTGGTCGAAGAGGGCGACGTTGGATGCGAGCCAGGAGAGATGTCGCCGCTCGCGCACTTCTGCCTTCTTCGGCCAGCACTCAACTTTGAACAGTCCCGCGCCGCCCATCCGCTTCAGATCCCACAGCCTCTGCTCCACATTCGCCACCATGTCTTTGGCGAACGCAGAGCAAAGGTCCTCACAGTCCGACATGCTGCCGCCGAACTTGTGGCCGGGTAGCTTTTCCTCCGAGAGTTCGAATGCGTGCGTGCAGGGACTTCCGTCGTTGTCCATGCCATCGACGACGATGCTGCGCTTGCCGCTGGCATGCCGCTGCAGGAACTTGGTCAGCCTCTTGCTCATCCCCCCCCGAATGTCGCACCGTACTCGATGTAACGGTGCCGGATGTAGGTGACCGTGCGGTCAACCTCCTGGGACACCAGGGTGATGTCCACCTGACGGAAGGGGCATAGGGCAGGCGGAGGTACAAAATGCAAGGAATTAAACTCACGCACATGACTACCAAGTTAAACACATAGCAAGACTGTGCAACAGTGCAACGAGATACGCCAAACAAAAGTACGTCCCGTTAAAACCACCACTTACAGAGCGCCTCTGAAAGAACCTGTTGAGGGTGTTCATCTCGGCGAGGACGTCAGCGAGGAAGTACAGGCAGTAGTGAAATTTCAGCGTCTTCACAACCGGTGCCAGCTTGTGGTTGTACTCGATGAGGACAACGATCGCCGCTCCGAGAATGCTGCAGAGCCTCTTGATTGCATCGCCACGTGAGAGCCACCGGATAAGGTAGAGTCCTTGATGCTCCAGGTTGGTGTTGTGGATGACCATCTGCAGGTGCTTGAAGCGCTCATACCATGGGGTGGAACGGCCAACAATCTCCCCCAATGCGCGGATGACGGCATCGATGATCTTGAAGTCCGGGAAGGCCGCGGCAGCATCCTTGACAGCCAGGGACTCTCTGCCAACAAAAACAAAACAGAGAGCATCAGCAACTTGACAAGATTTACCTGGAAGGGGCATGTAGCTATGCACGCATGAGCCATTAAAAGCACGTATGGGTGCAACAAACAAACAGCACCTATGGGCGATGCAATGGACGCCCACGAGGTGCGGGATGCGCATTCGTAAGCGAGCCACCAAGCCATGATGCTCGCCTGTCATCACAGAAGCCCCATCCGTACTGATGCCAGAGATCTTCTGGAGATCGACGCCGAGGGTCTCGAGGTGGGAGAGGATGATCGCCTGCAGAGAAGCCGCGTCGCACTTGTCCACGGTCAGCAAAGCTAGGAACTCGGTGACCACTTTCCGCTTCTTCAGAAATGTTGCAAACAGGATCAAGTGCTTCCCCCGCGTTCTGTCGGTGCTTTCGTCACAACTGAGGCCGATGAATGGAGATGCGTGAATATGCGACATCTGTTGCGCCTGCAAGAAAGCCACCATGGCTTTCACCATCTCCTTGAAGCCGTACCTGAATGGGAGTGAGAAAGGCATGCACACAACACTGGTGTTAGTAGTTGGTTAAAGAGGATCACAAAATCCAAAGGTTATAGGAAAACCCGAAAGAGAAGCAGTACAAGGGGATTAATAAACTTACTGTGTTATGTAGACACCGTAGCTCTGCTTAGGAACGTCCTTCACCCCTTCATGCGCCATGAAGCCCACGAGGCGGGTGAACATGCTGATGGGCGCATCTTCCTTGCAGATGAATAACATGGCGCGGAGTAGCCGAATGATGCGCGCTCCCTCTGGGTCATTCGCAACAAAGTCTTCCATCCTCTTCTGGTTCTCCACTTCTGTCAGCAGGTGTTGTTGCTTCCTCACCGCGTCTTCATGCTTCTGACTCTCCTGGTGCCAGCGCATCGAGCCGACTTGCAGATCCCGACCGCCACTGCCCTCACGCCCGTATCTTGCATGCACTGCACCATGCTCCATGCAAACACTGCAACGCAAGCACGGGATTCCGTCGTCATTTTTATCAAGGACCAGCCATGGGAATTTCGGGAGCCAATCATTGGTGTACTTATGTTGCGCCTTTTCGTATGCCCTCGCCGTCTTCTCCGCAACTGTCGGTTTCGCTGACGGTGCAGTGACACGCTCCGGCGGTGGCGGAGTGGGGGCTTAGGAGGAGGCGGTGCAAATGGCAGGTGTGATTGCTCATAGCGGCGCCTCTTTTTCGACGTCACGGCGACCGATGTAGTCGTGGCGGGAGGAGTAGCAGCAGGGGTTGATGTGGCGGGACGAGTGGCAG